CTCTTATATCTCCTTGCCCCTTCTTGAGGGAGATAATGTTCAATTATATAGCATGCTGTAGGTAGCATATGCATGTGCTATCGTGTGCAGGAACTCCTCTGCTTTCTGAAGCTTTCCAGGCATTCCAGAGCCCTTTTTTAATCTACCAGCCAGCATTTGATACAGAATTTTCTGGAAATTATTTTGCTGCCAAAAGTGTACAAGGGAGGTGGGAGACAATCTGTCGGCTTCTGCTAGAGCAAACACAAAGAACCATTCTCTCATCTAGTAAAACAATAAGATTAGTCCTTTTATCATTATTTTTTTTTTTGCTCCTTCACTGCTTTGTAAACACTGCTTGTATGACTTTGCCTCTTATCGTCTGCAAACTGAATCTGCTTTTGTTGAAGCAGTGTCAATCACAAGGGTTTTTCTGCTCATATACTTAGTGATATGACTGATTGAAAAAGAAGACAGGCTTTCATTTGGGTCTGCAATATGTGACAAAGTCACTGTTGGAAACATAAGAGGGGGAAGAAAACAAAGGGAACAATTCGGTAAAGTATAACCCAAAGTTCACTTGTTCTGTCAAGGAGATTAAGATTAAACTGAAGGAGGTCAAAGTTATTAACATTCAGACTACAGGGTATATAACAAGCTAGCATCTAGTTAGATATTGGCTTTCTAATTGGAGGGGAGCTTGTTTCTAACTTTTTATGTAAACACTAGTATTAGCAAAAGCCTGGGTGGTCTCAGCATTGTAACCCAGTGGACATATTTGATCCACATCTCCCTGAAAAAAGTGTCCTCAATGACCAAGTTTGCATTTCAATTGTAAATATGTCCCTTGCTGCCAACTGCGACAGCATTTGTAGAGGGAAAACTTCTGGGGTTGCTTTAAATTTGTTTTCCCAAATGCCAAATTCTCCTTCACACCATACACTTTGTGACAATCTTTTTATGGTCAGCTCTTTGGACCAAGCAAGAAGATTACTGCAGCCACCAGGAAGGAGCACAGACATGACTTGTTTGTTAATTAACTGCCATAGCAAGAGTGACTCTTTTGCAAGTCAGATGCTTATTTATGGAACAACCTTTGCATTTTCAAGTTGCATTATTCTCTGATTTTACATGCTCTCTACAGCTGCTTGTTCTAAATGTAATGGTGAGTGAAACAGGATGGGTTACCAAGGGAAAATATGTTAGACAGCAGCCAGCAGGATTAGCCTTTGGAAGGTGACTTGGTTAAACCTTTAGTAGCACTGGTACTGTAGTACTGAAGACTGACTCTCTAATCCACTTTACCGTCTGGCAATCTGTTGATGAAAGCAACAAGAAGGCAAAAAAGCTGAGATAGGCACTAGGCCCTTTTTAAAATGTCGATTGGGGTGGAACTCTTAAATATATTCTACTTCTTATCCATTACTTTTCCTTGGTAAGGACTCTTTGGGAAGCCAGTTCTCTCCTTCTAAATTCCATTAAGTCATTAAAATAAAGCCGAAGAAATTGGACAAAACTACGAAACAGTCTCAAAGACATAAGTAATTCTTAATCTGTAGATTGGTGTGTTACAAAAGTAGTATAAAATGATATGTTTTTTGTGTGTGTTATGTAACGCAAAAACTGCAAGTAATTACCAGAAGAAGAGGAAAACTATCTCCTTAAGTAAGTATCCATAAAACAAGAACAAAAATAAACCATGCAAAGTCAGCACTTCAATTTGAATAGCATGGTTTGGAGTCATCATGCTACCAAATTAATAGATTCTTGGAAAATGCCATAAATTATGAGTTCCTTAAAAATGCTGCATCCAGCAATTTTGGAATGCTATATTGCATTATTTTATCCTTATAGATGAGAATAAAGTGTCATAGAAGCACACTTTAGAAATCAGCAGTAGTTTAGATAAAAGTGATCATGATTTGCTTCTGTTTGTTATACATAATCAGAATTAAGTCCAGACCAGTAATATGTATACGTGATGAATCGTAAGAGCCAATTTCACAAAGCTGAAAACAATTATGAGTTAAATCAGTTGGGAGAAAGAAATTAGACAGGAAATGTGGATAATAACTGGAAACTGTTTAAAAACATTTTACGAGAGGTTTTAAAAAAAAGAATGAAAAGTGGGCTAGCCTAAATGTTGACTTGCATAAAAGTGAAAGCAGCTATGTAAATCAAAATAATTACACTAGAAAAAAAGAGATTTATCAGAATTCATAAGAATTAGACAGAAGATAAGAACTACAGAAAATTGATAAGGATGGAAGCAAGAAGTAAGGTTTTTCATCAGAGTTAAGGATAACAAGAAAAATTTTTGGTCTTGACTACACAGACATATAGCCGTGTTAATAATGTATGCAAAAATTTGTATGCTTTGTAAATCTGATATCCGCTTAAAGAAAAAACAGAAAAAAATCAGTCCTGTCATAAGAAGGCAATGCAATGTTGTTCATTCCAGTAAATCAGTAGAATGTTAAATAGCTATTTAAATCAGCAGACCTGCATAATTTACAAAGAAGAGGTTTAAAAAAGCTGACTGAAGAAAATTCAAAATCATGAATATTGCTTTTTGGTAAGTCTGAGAACACTGGATGAGTTCCAAGAAGGACAGGGAAAAAAAAGAAAAAAAAGAAGAAAAAAAGCCACCATCACACCATTTTTTTTTTTTTTAAAGTTATATGTGTAACCCAGGTGACTGCAGACCTCTGAGCCTGAGCTGAAAGGATAAAATAATGTAAAAGCTAATAGAGGACTAGAGGTGTGGATGCAATTAACCCTAAGCAAAATGGTTTAACAGGACCAAGAAGTTCTTGTGAGCCTGCCTGAAAAACTCAGCATTTTTACTGGCCTTAGGAAGCGAAGGAAGGCAAATGTTGCCAGCCATATGTAAGATAAGATGGGCCAGCAAACCAAAGTCTTTCCAAGTCTGTAAAGAACCTGTGAACAAAAGTAACAAAACAGCACTGGCATCAGAAAATTCAGTGTTTGTCAAAGCCTATACAGATGTGAATAACCCTCTGTGCGCAATAAAGCATCTTTGAAAAGTGGATCCTATATCTTTTGTATCCATACTTTTTAAGTCCCCCAAAGTTGACAGTGTGTCTTTTTGTACGCCTGTTTCTTAATTTCAAATGTCCTTTTTTCCAAGCTGATATTCAAGCAAGGTTTACCTGGTACAGCAGCAAGGGAGGAAGTCTTCAGTGAACCTCATGCTCTGTTTACTGAGGAACATTCAGTGCAAAGATGTTTTCTGTATTAATACAATTCTGAAATGGTAAACTAGCTCCTAACCAGGTAACACAGCTAAAAATTTGCTAACTAGTTAGGGTTAACTATGTGTAACATCTCCATTGATTTATGACTGTCAGGTTCACAGGTTACTTAGATTGTTCAATTTAGCACTTTTCCCCAGCTTTCAATTGTACATTTTGAACCAGGTGTTCAATGGATTGATCGATATGAAGTACAATAGGTCTCTGCACCGCTCCATAAACAAAGTTGATTTTTATAGCCTTGGTGTGATTTAAACCTTTAACACTTTAAACCATTCTCCAGCAGTCTTGCCATGTAAGCATATGCTTCTCTTCACTTTCCTTAATTCACTTCAGATTGTGACTTAGCAACAGGCAGGGCAATGAAAGCTGCTGTGTGTGTGGAGGGCCTGATCCTGCAAATGTGTGTGCATGACACTGCATGCAGGTAAATAACTCCTTTGATCCCAGTGAGGCTATTCACATATATAACCCTGTTAAGATGAATTAGTTGTAAGGTAAGGACTGACATTTGAATATTGAGCTTTGTGGTTAGGGAGAGCTTTCCTAGCACTCAGAGGACATAGAGAAAGCAAATCTCATTTGCTCAATGTGACTTATGTGACTTACATGATTTTCCCCTATGTCAAGTTCCCTCCTCCCCATAAAAACAGACTCGTATGTCCACCTTTGCAGCCTGCTCCCCATCTCGTGACCGTACATATCAGATGCAGTTTTGTAAGGGGTCATGTTTGCCTGCCAGCTGAATTTGATGCTTGGTTCAGGGAGAAGATGAACATCAGGAGAGGAGTGAAACACAGATGCAACCCTGAAGAGTCCTCAGTCTGTAGACCTCTTACTGGATGCCAAACTCTCATTCTGCACGATGGCGTTTGAGTGAACCCACCAGACACACCATCCACCATTGCAATATTTGGCCCAGTGTTCACTCATACATTAGCAAAAGTGATTGTTTCAAAGGTTTGGACAATGAACACCTCAAATCAGATTTTGGGAAGGACCTAATTCTCACTGCTGTTTGGAGTGCAGATGGCAGAGCAAGGAAGGCTCTTCAGTTCTGAAACCAGGGTTATTCTTACGAAGGAGCTGAAAAGGAAAGTGGTGCTCTTTCTGTCTTTCCTCAGCACCATGTCAGTAACCTGCCATTCACACACACACACACACACACACACACATCACATTGTTTCTGAATAAGTGCTGCTTGTTTGGCTGACCTTCCCTGGAGATTCCTCTACATTAGAGAGAGTCTGATGAAGTCAATACATGGAAGAATTTACTGTCTTGCTGGGAGGTTATGAGCAGATCCTCCTTAAACACTTAAATAAATACAAATGTTTTCCACTCGATGTTGGTATAAAAAATAATAAAAATAACCAATTCTGCTTTCTTCAAAAAAGCGAGAAGGTTTGGGAAGGTTTGGCAAGGGAAGGTTTGGAAAGGTTTGGGGAGATGTGGGAAGGAAAAGGCAGGTTTGGGAAGGTTTGGGAAGGGAAAGTTTGGGAAGGAAAGGTTTGGGAAGGTTAGGAAAGGGAAGGTCAGGGGAGGGAGGGAGTGGAGGGCAGGGCAGGGCAGGGCAGGGCAGGGCAGGGAAGGGAAGGGAAGGGCAGGGCAGGGCAGGGCAAGGCAGGGCAGGGCAGGGAAGGGAAGGGAAAGGCTCTTTGAGCTATCACCACAATCCAGCTTTCATCTCACAAACTAAAAAGGCGTAGAAAATGTGAAGCAGTTGCAAAAGTCTTAAAGAGCAAGTTAAATCATAACCACAGGCTAGGATCTTTTAATATCTGTTGAGCTGCGTGTCACAGACTACACATATTTATGCATTTAACGAATCTTTAAATAGTATATATAAATGCAAGTCATTGAGCAGTGACAGGAGAATCAGGCAAGTACTTCTACTTATAAAAATATCCTCCTTCTGTGTTGCTATTTCACCTTGAAAAAGTGCCATGTTCAGCATCCCAGACCCTGGGCCCTGAGCACCTTCCTTTGGCATCGATCCCATGGGTCAGCCTCTTTGAGCAAAGCAGAAGTGTTTGAGAAGAGGTCAAGTTTGTCTCTGGCCTCAGAAGGTGTATTTTGAAGTGGCTTTCTTATGTTCTTCCACCATCAAAACCTGTGAAAAGTAAATTAATCATGTTTGGATTACTGCAAGAAGCTGAGGATTATGCAAACTATTTCCTGATACATAAGAGAAATGCCTATTTTCATAAATAATGTATTTATCTAAAACTGTAGCCAATAGAAGGCCCCGTTCCTTAGCAGTCAGACACAGAAACTACTATAATTTAGCAAACTGCAAATGAAAAAGACACTTCTCTTATGAAGCTACCCTCATAAAACAGATCTTGTTATGAGAAGTTAATGTAACACAGAAATGGCACTAATAGCAGAACTGTGTGTGTCTGGAATGAGATTTTACCTTAAATGTTATTCAGTAAATGAAAAGAATCATTAAAATATATTACAAACTATTACTAGAACAATCCCTCCAAGTAATTTTTTTTTATTGCCATCTTCTTTTACAAACTCATTGCAAATTTTGAGGGAAAGAGGCCAGACAATCAAGAAACAGCTTAGTTTCATAAGGAATGAAAATATTTTTGCTGACGACTTCGAGGCCATTACAACTGCCACCAATGACCAAGGAGAGATCCAACGTAGTCCCTCAGGCACTGTAAAACAGGACAGCTGAGTCACAATGAATCTTCTCATGGTAATAGCAATGTTTGCTTTATCAGAAAAGGAGAGAGAGTCTGATGATGATTCAGCTATTTTATCGCTGCCAGTCTTCTTACCTTGCTTGGAGCAAGTGAGAGTGCTTCTTCTAGAGCTACATTTACACGGATGCAGTGCCTGTATAGTGTTTAGCACAATGGATTGCTCTTCAGTTCCTGGAGATCAAAGACACTACAGTTCTGCTACTGATTATGATGCCTATGGATATGTTGCTTTTCACTCAGGAAAAGGTTGCTAAATTGTTACTAAGAGAAGTAACAGGTGGGAAAAGAGACAGAGAAATTTCATGGAATCATGGAATCATTGAATATCCTGAGTTGGAAGGGCCCCACTAGGAGCACCAAAGTCCAACTCCTGGTCCTGCACACAATAGCCCCAAGAATCACACCATGTGTCCAAGAGCATCGTCCAAATGGTTCTTGAACTCTGTCAGGCTTGGTGCTGTGACCACTTCCCTGGGGAGCCTGTTCCGGTGCCCAACCATCCTCTGGGTGAAGAACCTTTTTCTAATATCCAACCTAAACCTGGAAAATGCTTCATGCCACTCCCTCTGGTCCTCTCATTGTCCACCAGAGAGCAGACCATTGCCTGTCCCTCTGCCTCCCCTTGTGAGGAAGTTGTAGACACCTATGAGGTCTCCACCTTCTCCACTTTGAACATCCCTCTTACAGAAAGTTGTCTGCAGGCCGTCCAGCCATATTTCTGCTAACCAACTTGTAGACAAAGGTGGTGTATAATTATAGTCCCTAGCATTTTGGTTATTTTTAGCACAGAATTTACCTATGTTGCATTGCTTAGAATGCTGCAGTGTTTTAATTTTAAATTAACTTTCAAAATAAAAATTGCTGTATTAAAGTATTGCAAGTAATTTTTTTTATAACAGTGTACAGACAGCCACAGATGAAGATTATTTATAAGTAATTTACTCCATTTGAAAATACTATTCTTGACAAAAAATATAATAAATTATAACATTTACTAATTTAAAAATTCGCAGATTAGGCACTTTGAAGACTTCTGTACAAAGCAACTTCAGACCCTCAGCTTCTTATGGTTGTTCATGAAGTTCATGAAGTTCATTTTATATTGTTTGGCCATATCCCTAAAAAAACCCCAAATCATTAAACAAATGTTAGGCCAACTGGTGTCCAGACACCAATTGTGAAGTTCTGCAGAAATGCCCTTTTTGAAACTCTTCATTATTAGGCCACCACTGTCCCGCAGTATCTCAAATCTATTGACGTCTGTTATAAATTTCCCTTTTCTGCACTCTAATAAAAGACTCAGCACTGCAGTTCAAGGACCTGAATTCCATAGCCAGGTAGCCTAATTTGCCAATCCACTTCATCCGTAAAACATAGCCTACACACATGGAACATATTATAGGGAATCCAAAGGCGTATAAAAAAGAACAGTTGAGAGAATAAGGAACATAGGATGCAGCCATATCCTGTAAATATCTTTCTTCTAGAAGATCTTTTTCTAAAGAAGTACCAAATCTTAAAATTAACCCACCGCTGTACTAAATGGGCTCAGGCAGACACAAAATGACCATGATCCTTGTGGGTCCCTTCCAATTGAGCATATTCTGTGATTCTGTGATAAGTAAGGCCAGGCTTGTTGAAACTCAGTGTAACAGAAAGGCCTGAGCTCCAGAAAAAAACAATGGTTTGTTACATGAAATGAAACATTAGCATTGAGACATAGACAAAATAGCCTGGGATGAAAACCTGCTTTAAGTTCATGGCAGCTTCAGACAGAAAACACACAGATAACTGAAGGGGATATTTTAATTACTCACCAGAAAGCTGAAAGTTCAAAGCAACTCACTTTATAATGGTATTTTCTGGATAACAAAAATATTCCCAATTCAAAGAACAGCTGAAAAAAATATCAACACAATTTTAGTTAGAAAAATCACCAGCAACTCAGAATTAAGATTAAGAAATATGAAGCAGTAGAGAAATATGAATTACATATAACTATAAACAGCATTGAAATGGTGCAAGAAAAGAAGATATTCCTAAGAAGACTGCATCTGCCAGTAAACTATTCCAGGTCATCTGCAGAGCACTGGTGATACACAAGAGCCAAAAACTTTCTGAATCCAGGCCAACCCTTTATTAAGAGAAGGATCTTTGAGAACTGTACAGAAAATTAATTGATTTGGTTTCAGGCAAGGATACCTCAATCCTTGTTTCCCACATTGCCTCCTGCAATGGAAATGTTACCTTGTAATGTACATAGTGCAGAGAGCTTGAGGATGGGAATGAATATCAAGCCAACGTTTCTCTTAGTCTTCTAAAGTCTATTAGTCTTCTAAATGTGAGCAGGCGCATGCACTAATCAAGCCTCTCTCTTTCCACAGAAGGTTGCTTAGAGAAATATATGGTAGTGGGATTCATGCTATGTTTCTTAGGGAATAGGGAACAGAGGGAAAAATTTTAATTCCCAGGGCCTATAGCTGCTAGGGGATTCCCTCATACCACTTACGTCTTTGAAGGAAAAAGAAAGTTTCTCAAACCACAGAAAGAAAATTTTACTCCTTACTAACCGTTCTATTTATTTAAAAAAAACTCTTTCAGCAGAGAAAATGTTTCTCTGCAGCAGATATGAGAGCTGCTCCAGATCCATGGAGCAATCCCATGGTGTGCACTGTGGTTGTCCTGCCAATTTCCTTTTGAGCTAAACCACAAAATGATGGATTGCCAACCACAAGAGAGTGTATTATTCTGATGTTCAGCACTTATGTGTGGAGAATATTAACTGACCCTTTTTATTGATTAATTGCACCTTTTAATGCCATTAGGGAAAGGGTTAGGTTATAGTATCCTGCTGAATGGGACAGGCAAGTGGCACAAAGGGCTTATAAATCACCCAGCTCACAGGGGCTTCAGCAGTCGTGCAAATGTACAGATGTGGACAAAATAGAAGTTAATTGCATTGTTAGTCACATGAACAGAAGCACATAGTGTTTTTTTGAAGAAAACAAACTAACTTGAATCATGGTAAATACAGCTATTTTTAATGATGTTGATTGCAGTTGACTGCTGGATTGAAGCATCTCACTTGAACTCAGGAAAGCCTACAGGACTTGGTAAGATAGCCCAAGGATGACCAGCACAAAAAAGTGAGATATGTGTCTGTCCCAAGGCAATGTGGTGATGTCTAAGGACATAGCAGTCCACTCAGAATAGCCTCCTGACAGGCAAGGCTGCTTGATTATTACACTGTGAGCAACTGTAAATGCAAGTATTGAGGGTGCAACCAGGACTGGACTAAATACAAGTCAACAGGAACCAAAGTCCTGCTTTCCTTTTTAAAGCCATGGATTCTTCTTCCCTTTTCTCCTCTTCCCTTTAATTTCCAGTGGATCACTAAGAGAGCAAATGAAGTTAATATTTAAACTGTGATTTAAGCCATAGCAGAAGAAAAAGTGACCAAAGTAATGCTGGGGGCCTGTTGGCTAACAGACATTTCTCTACTATTGATTCAGCTTAAAAGAGTAAAAAATGTTTATATTTATTTTAGGAAACCATCAAAGGAGCATCCTTCCAATCCTGACCATAGCTTTTAGGTACTTGCAGTGATTACTTCAATAGCAGCTCTTTTTTGATCTGGCTGTGCCAATAACTCTGAACTTCCTCCATGAAATAGGAATCTAGCTTCTCTGGTTTTTCCTTTTCTGTCCCATCCTGTCAGAGAGCAGAAGACACTTGCATTCCTGAACCTAAACTTCTTGTGAAGATGCATTTATTTGCAAGTTTCAGGTCCCAGTGTGGGAAGAGGAAGGGGAATTTAATTGTATTATATATATCCCTGCAGGAGGAGGAGTGCTTACATAGCATTAAGATATAATTTGTTCTCTATATTTTGACCACCATCTTCTCAATTCACCTGCTCCAGCCCCTCAGAAAGTGGTTAGCCCAGCTGAAAGGCGGTGGTTGCAGGCTGCATCAATCCAAGAATGTGAACTTGAAGAATTCCCTTTCTGGGAAGATGCCTTGAGGTACTACCTAAATTTGCAGCAAAATCTCACCCTGCACATGGCCTCCTCACTGACTTGCCTTGTTCCCTGACTTAAACAACTGTCAGTTTCCACCAAAACCAGTGCAAACCCCAGCTTGTGGCATAGTGTCCTCCAGCTTCAGGTGGGAAAAGTGCTGACACAGATCCCTTGGGCGTGCGGTCCTGCACACTTGCCCTTCACCCACCGCTGTTGCCCCAAACCCACAGGGTGACAGGCAAACAGCCCCCTCGCACCCTGCACAGAGCAGTGAAGGCCGGGGCAGAGAGCTGATCCTCTTGGGGAGAATCTAGGCAAACATTTCATGAAAGGAAACATGCACCATTTAACCTAATGGCTGTCTTCATGCACAGACCACATTTATCATTACAAAAGCCTAGCACGGGGACATCCCTTGCAGAGGTCAATAAAGCTAAGATGATCCCAGCAGAGGCAAGAAACTAGAATGCTTTGTTGGACTTACAAGTTCATATTTAAAGGGTTTAGGGTCCACATATTCAACAGGGGGTTGTAACTATTACAATTTATTACAAACTGGGGGTTTCAGGGGATGACATAAGGGAAAAACCCAGGTTTACAAATTTGGGGTCTTACAATTACATCAGAGGGAAAAACCCATCTTATCTTAGGGGAATTACATGGGGGAAAGAGGTATTCAGGTTTGCAGAATGCACAGGATCCAGGGAACACAAAGGGAGACAGAAAACACAATAAGCCTTCTGCACTGGCTTGATAAAATCAGGGCATGGTTTCTTCGGCTTGGGCAGGACATTCCAAACCAATAACATCAATGGATCCTTGTCTGGACTCTAGATGGAGATTTTTCCCCAGTCTGTCAGCCCAAGGCTTTTGTTTAAACTTAGCAGTTTTCTTTTTCTCATATCCAAATTTTGGAATCCAACAGTCCTCAGGTTTGGAGGGATCATCTGGGCTTGTAAGACAGGGACTGTAGGCACAAGAGAGATGCTGAGAGGTGAGAGCATCTTGGTTCTTTATCTTATATGCTGCCTCACTGCATAGGAAAATTAACCTGTACACAAAAAAAAAAAAATGAAAAAGGAGAAGTGCAGATTACCTTTTCCCTTCACAAACAAGGAAAGGGAGGCAAGACAAACTATGCTGCTTTCAGGTCCGATTCTTTCCCTGTATACTTCCTGGGGCAATGCAGTTATGTGCCTACCTAATAGCTCAGTCTAGCTCTAGGTAAGCAGTCATTAGTTTTCTTAGGAAATGCTCTAGCAGTAAGATACAAAAAATGGGTAAAATTTTTCAGTCCTTAGTGCTGAAAGATATCTATAGAGAGATGTATAGATACATATAAATATAGGTAGAGGGGTACACACACATATGGAGCTTAACAAAAATCAATAGATTTGATGCTACTTTATGTAGGGGTGGAACAGAAAGAAAGAAGGGGGAGATATATGAATTTAATAAGCTCAGACATAATTGCCATGAGTAAATGTTAATGCATTGGAATGAACTTTTTTTTTACTTTATGCATACTAATAGGCTCCCTCTTCGTGAAAGAATGACATCAGACATTGATAAATTTGACAGAAGTGAAAGGAAAAAATGGTCACACTATTAGGAACATTCCTGAGGTGGTGTTGAATGGTGCCTTTGATACATCAGCCTTCAGACTCTGAGCACATTCGCATTAAATCGTGTGTACACCCAGAATTCAAATGAGCTGCTTCTTTAGATGCTGGCTTTTAGCAGCAGTCCCACCAGACGGGCTGGAATCAAATCAGAATGTGGTATAGGATTATTTTCTCAGTACAGTTTGTGCCTGCTGATCTCTCAGAAGATTAGAGAAAGAGGCAGCATATAGCAGATCGTTAAAGATCTACACAAGGATGAAGAGTTAAAAAAAAATTCTTCAATGAACACACTGCTCCAAGTACAGACGTTCTCCTATGCCAAGAGATCGGTACAAGGCTGTGTGTATAATATTGCTGAAAGCAGAAAGATGACAAATTGCTTGGAACGGATTCACTGAAAAGCAAGCGAGAGCTAACCATTGATCTTTGAATACCTTAGCAATATCTGAACACTGGTGCATTGTCACAACATGTATGCTCTTTATAACCTTCAAGAAACCACTGTGAAAGCAGTGCTATACACCTGCAATATATGTGTTTGTCTGGAAACATCAGACCAGTACAGTAACTGTCTAAGAATCTTCCAGTAAAGCCAGCGCACACAGGTGCATCACATGGCTTGGGATACACAGTGAGCCTAGAAATAAATAAAAAGCTGAAGTCATACATCTTTTTCTCATTAGCCCATTGCTTTTAAGAACTAGACACTGGGAGGCTGGAATTTAAAGATGTGAGTTAATACTACTGACATATATTTCCGAGCAGCTTCAAACCAAAAAAACCCACAAAAAACAAAATCCAACCAACCGAAAAACAAAAAAACACCACACGTGAAAGGAAAATATTTGGGATGTGGAAAAGGAGGCAGCCTTAGAAAATGAATGCATAAAGAGAAGAAACAGAGATGAGTGAATGCATGTTAGGTTATATATATTTGTCTATTAGAAAATCGTGTTTTGAAACCTGGTTTTATAGAAATTTGAGCGATTCAGCGAGATTTCTGTAATAATGTCTGCTTTTAACAAACAATAAGAAAGGCAAAATTCTTTTTTAAAAAAGTAAAATATTGAATAACCATTTTCTCCTCCTTTGCCTCATTAAAAGGTACTGTCTTTGGAGACATACAGATACAGAAATAAGATATAAATACCCACCTTTCTGTTCATCACATAAAACAATCACCACTGGGTTTTTAATTAATTTTTTTTCTGGTTTCATACAACAGTTAAAAATATTTGGGTTTTGTTTTGATTTTTTTTCTTTTAAAAATATCAAAGTCTCCTTTTGATAAGCAAATATAGGACATTATCTATATTTTTATACAATTTTTTTCTGATGTCAACCATAAGGCTGCTGGAAAATTAATTAGCATGTGTAGCCAAGACAATGAGTGCTAGTAACAAACATTAGCTCTTCTATGTAAAAAAAACAAGTCCCTTTCAGTCTATTCAAGACAAACTGTTTTCACTAGGTCTGCTTTATATTTGCATCTCTCAATGCCTACTATCACAGCATGCCTAGTAGTTAAAGATAATTAAAGTGATAATACACCTGTTAACTGTGGAGATATTGTGCCTACCACCTTCTATTGCTTAGAATAACTAAAATAAACTGGCAGAAGGGCTGAGCATGCAGTCTGCAGGTTCCTGTGGCTAAGGGAAGCCTCACACCCTCAATAGAGTCCTATTTTACAGAGCAGAGGCCACAGTCTAACAGACCAACTATTTTACTGATCATTCTCTTCTTCTTCATAATCAGGTGGACCAATTTCACTGTTTTTCACCCATCTGAACAGCTCGCTTTTTATTAATGTTTCTCTTTAGGGACAATACTCCAACTGCTTACTTTTCCTCTTACCAGCTAAGTGTTAAGTGTTTAACATGTCTTTTACCTTCTATTAAAGCAGCCCAGTGTCTGCAAGCCTATTCAAGATGGCACCTCAGTTTTCCCTCACCCCATGTTTTCAGCATCATCAGCATCAGCATTTTAAGCAAGCAGCACTGTCTAAAGAGCTGATTGCTTCCGCATGACAGAAATACTCAAATACTGTACTGCTATCCAGTACAATATATTAAAAAATCACAGGCAAGCAGAAAGAATTTATTTAATATGTCCTCTTTCTACAAAGCCATATGCTTACTGTAAGGACAGAGGTGTTGTATTTAACTGGCAATGACCACTTTTATTTTAAGCTGGCAATAACCTGCAACAACAAATATATCCAAGCGTTTTATTCATCCATGGATACTCATTTTCCTCCTCCTGCAGATACCCTTTCTTTCTATGTGTCCAGTGGCTAGAAGCCAAGAAACTCATTTTATGCTTGATAATTCGTTGCTAATCAGTGCTAATCTGTTTGGGAAAACATCTATAGCTCAAGCACAAAGAGAATCAGATCAGTTGAGCTGCATCATTGGTGACTGTTTATCATTGAGTGCAACTCCTTGAACTCTTTCATGGGACCCACACAGAGATTCATTCACTTGTGCGAGTGGCTTCACACCAAGAACCAACAAGATATTGGTGCTTTTTGAGACCTGGACATTTAAAATAAAAATAAGAAATGAATGCTGGTGCTATGTGCACCAATTTCACTATTCACATCTCTGAGAGCAGTAGTCACTACTAATACAGATTTACCACTTCAAGGCTTGTGGGAGGCTGTTTTGGTCCTACTGAAACCTACTGAACTGAAAAAAAATAATCGAGAGAGCTTTGTAAGGGAGGTACAAATCATGCCAAGTTTGCTTTGAATTTATGGCACTTAAATTTCCATTGGGCAGATATCCATCACCCCAACATTTTATGCGGGCAATGATTAGGAGCAAAATTTGTATAGTGCAGTCCATGAACACAACCGTGTAAATTGCAGTTTCCTCACGAAAACAACTGTAGACTGGGGAGGGAATAGAGGCAAATATGCCAAACTTAGTGAAATCTAACAACACCTGGCTTTCAAACCCTGAGCAGGCACTCAGACAACAAATATTGAATACTTCGTGCAAAATAAGGTTTATGTTATTGCTGCAAAATTCCTTTTCTGATATTTTCCTATGGGCTTTGAGCCATATGTTTCTGCGTAATACAGCAAAGGCACAATTAAACTCCTCTGTAAGACCATGCTCTGCCAATGCCAGCACTCTCCCAAGCAGGGGCACTGCAGCGAGGGGAGCCAAAGCACACGCAGGCACACACAGGCTGTGTCTCGCCCTGAATCTGAGGGCTCAGTTTTGAGTTGAGGCTCCTAAGGCATGTCTCAGCTCAGCTTGATGGATCCATAGGGTGGTTATTCAAATGTGATGTTGTCCTAGTCTCATCTGGAATGCCTGCATGACAGCATTTCCCACTTACCTCTTTTTTTATTCATTAAAAATAAGACAGGATGAGCCTCGGAGAAACCTGTCTGTAAAATAAAGGTCTGCATTAAAATCAGGTATGAAAAACTGTCTTCCTGACAAGCAGTCGCTGTTTGGAGGTGCGTCTATCTCTCAGGGAATCAGTTACATGCCAGAAAGAGAGAAACAATCCCATACAAACAGCAACATTAGGGGAATCTTAAGGCTGAAATTTAAGCACTGAAAAGACAGAGTGCACCTCAGGAAAAGCTAGATTAGCTACCTTATCACTGCCTGCAAGCATACATACAATATTACAGCCCTTAATTAAGCAGACATGTTTTCTCTCTGACAGAAGGTGTCAGATGGTCTTCTAGATTTTCTGTGTTCAGCATATATAAACAATTTGCCTCTTTACCATGCGTCCATCATTTAATTAGCATAAAAGCCCCCTAGCCCTCTGTTCACTTGGTCATCTTTATAATACATACTCTTATCTCAAAGGTACTTATTTTAATAATTTCATTAGTACAGATGTACAATGCATTCCACTAGACATTTTTCTATTTAGAGACAGATGTACTTCTTAGCAATAATTTATTACTTATTACCTTGCAAGCTGTTTTTCAGACAAATAAGCTCACAATTCCATTACCAGTATCTTTTAATGATGTTTCTGTTTCAGATTGCTTTATCATTGGAGTCTAATCCAAATTTCACTGAACTTTCCCATTAATTTCAATGAAAGGCTCTGTTCTTCATTTTCCAAACAGCTCAAAGCACATCTCAGGAAAATCTGTATACTATTTATCCAACAAGACATTTTAAAATAAAAAGCAAAAAATTTCTTTAACATCTAATTGCCTCTCCAATGAGCAAAACATCTTGCAGAGGTTTGTCACTAGTTAGATGAGAGCATGTTCTAGAACACAGTAAGGGAAAGAAACCTGGATATTGAATGATAAATGGGAGCAGAGTGTTTTCAGAATTACTTTAGAGGACAGTACGAATGAGTTTCATGTGTAGACTTGCAAAATCATTCATGTTGGCCAAATTTGAAAACTTACCCAAAATGATAATGTAAAGACTGAGAAGAGATAATATTACAAGAAAGGGTTAGAAACATAAGGTGGTCTCTGGATCTTTGGGCTGTCCACCACCTCTTCCATGCTCCTAAATACAACTGTGAATCTCGGAGGATTTCCTGCTGGGGGACACAGTCTGCAAAGAAGAGACATAACTCTGAAAAGTAGAGTCTCTGTAAAGTGAATCCTCCTTTATTCCACTCTCAAGGGATCCCACCTGGGTTATTACAGACAGCTCTGGGGCACCCAACATAAGAAGGACATGGACCTGTTGGACAGGTCCAGAGGAGGGCCACTAAGATGATCAGAGAGATGGAGCACCTCTCCTATGAAGTCAAAGAGAGAGTTGAAGCTTTTCAGCCTGAGGCATGAAGCAGGAACCCCAATATCCCCCTGTTCCATGCTCTTCTTTAATGGTTATGAGATTTCACTGCCTATATCATGATCTACTCTCGAAAAAAAGTCTAAAAATTGTAAAGGATACCCGAGAACTTTGCTGTGTTAAAAATTCACCTGTATCTTATCTCTTGATTTTCTCCTCTCATTTTACTCCAAACTTAAAATTTTTGGTGGTTTTTGCTGTTGAGCAAGTACATTACATGGTTTCAATGATGTTTTGGAAAGAGCAAATCAAAGATTAAAAAAATTAAGTACTTTAAACACTAATTTAATAAGTATGTTGTATTAGGTTAGGAATATTGAGTACTAGTCCCTTGTCCTTAAATTCATACTAAGAGAAAGGAAAAGTTACCCTGAGGGCACCACATGAGAGGGGATACCCATGCTTATTAAAATAGAAAAATATTAATTATCTATAATTAATATTTTTTTCTAAAGGGTAGGATTGTGATTGACCCTCTGAAAATTAGACATTGAGAAGGCTTGTTACACAACTGATTTTCTTTTCTTGCACTACAAACTTGTTCCTTGTAGTTTCGTCTCTAATGATTTATTCAGCAGTTTATTAAAAAAAAAAGACTTGTTATTCTTTCCTGAACTTTCACAAAAGAATGAAGAGATTTAAGCAAGAGAAAAAAATGAGACACTGTATTTCTGTCTTATCAATATCAGAAACTCATCCTAATAAGGATTACTTCTACACTGAAACACAGCTCTTCCTGTTTCCATAAAACTATTCACAAGTTGCATATATTTCCATATTTGATCTGCATTAATATTAAAATCTTGAAGTTTCTGGAAAGATTTACATGCTTTATCATCAGATAAATCCTTTATTATCTTGTACCAAAAGTTCATTCTTCTTTAAATGCAATAAATACCTAATTTGAACAAACAAACCAAAAGCAATTAAGGAAAAGAGATGCCCTATGAAAAAAAAAAAAAAAAGAAACATGGAGATTAAATTCACAACCACGTTAGTTGTCTGTATAAGAATTTCCAGAGTCAATACCAAATAGCAAAAAAGTATCTAATACCAAATCTCATATGTAGAAGTCAGAATGCAGTGCTATATTGGATGGATGAGTAGCAGAAAAGACAGGATATGGCCATGGTTACTGGAGACAGAATGCAAGAGGCAGGTGGACAGCATTACAGGACTGAATAGATTGCAAACTCTCCAGTAACACTGGTAATAGGAAGTGGATTTTGTTTCCCAAAAGCTATAAGGTGTTGAAAGGTCTTATTTATTTATGGTCAATCCTTTGGAGTTCTAAATCTCACAAGAAGTTGCTCAGCAGATCAGGGATTCCTCAAGCACATCACCTCGTGGTGCTTCAGCACTTCTCATCATACCTACCGCCCAAGAAGTGTGCATGTGGCTGCATGGAGTGAGACATTAATAAGAGAACAGAGGGGAAGAGGGGAATAATAAGAAGCTCTTCTCACAGACATTGTGCAAACAAACTAAAGAAAAGAGTGAAACAGATTTAAAGGGAGATAAGTTTGAAAGTGTTTGGACTTGTGTCTGAGGCAAATTTCCTTGTCTTTAAAAGTAGCCTAGATTTAAACTACTATATCACTCAGAATATACACCGCATGCTGCTGGTCTCACTCCTGATCCTCACAGGCAGCTTACTCCTACAGTAAAAAAAAGTTTCATCTTTATCTTATTTGGCTATCTCTCTTTTTGTGTCTGCTGTGGCTTGCGATCTCCATCTCTTGCCATCTGTCAGTGAGACAGGCCAGGGAGATGCAGAACCACTGGTACTTATAGCACTTGAAACTCATGGATAAATCATTAGAGAACATGCTATAGGGAACAACTTCACAGTGACAAGGAAATAAAATCAATTTTATAATAAGTCTTCTCAAATTATTATTTCCATGGGGTCAATCCTCAGTCATTCCCATAGAAAACTCTACCCAAGAGGGAGGGAAAGAGAAAAATTGTCTGAGGTTTCCCTCTGAGAACATTTGACTTCTTCCTCAGGGGTAAGGGAATTTGCTCTCCATGCTCCATGGAGCAATGGTGGGGGGATTAGTCTCCAACTCCATTAAATTTTCCTATAGCCACAGGGGACTATGCAATCTCTAGCTCTTTTCTAAATGATAGTTTGCTCAAAAGGCCTCCTGATACATTTGAAATATAGGACAGATGTTGCCACATTAGCTATAGACCCACACAGAGAACCCAGAGACAGAGGAGAGAGGTAACACCACGGATTCCATAAATGTTCTTACTATATAATCTATATAGAAAAAAGGGGTTTCTCAGATTAAGATGATATAAAAAAATAGTTTTCTGTTAGCACTATAACTTCAGAGGGGATTTGAAAGTTTCTTGTTCTCCAGCACTAAAAACTAGCAGTAAAATGTCACACAGTACAACACTGAGTTTTAATACGGATCTTTTTCTCACATAACAAGCCACCAAGCAACTCTGTTTCTAGGATTGCTATCTACAGAACACATAATCTTTATCCTGTCACAAGTCTTTCCTGCTGCTGAAGTTTGTTTCATATGATATCCTCCTCCTGCTATTTCCACTTCAGAAAAAGCTCTCTTGCCTCCTCCCACTCCACTTAAGTGCTTGTGTGCGACTGCAGCTAAAAGTAAGGGGTAGTCACTGTTGTTGTCATATTTGTGGAAACACTGTGCAGATGACTCACCATGCTGACAACTTGAAAACTCTTGCTCTTTTGATCTGGTACTTGTGTTTCCTCCTCCTCTGCCACTTCTCAAAAGTCAAAGTAAGTGGACATGTCCATGTGTCACTCTGTGTGTGTGACAGTAGTTATCAGGATTTTCTCCATGTCCAAATAATTTTGACTGAAGTCACTTGGTTTTGCTTTGAAGATCCCAGGATTAACTTTTCCTTTCATACCTGCATAGAAGGCAACGTTCCATATCAGTATCATTCATCAAGTCAGTGATTTCATGAAGGTAAAATGGTGGGCATGAATCTTATTACCACAGTGGTTCCCTTGAGCTTCTGTGGTGAAATAAAAGGGCATCAAACCATTTATGAATAATTGCTGTGGTCTTTGAGGTCCCTCTGTTCTACTCATATAAATGGAGCATCAGCAGAAATTATCATCAGGTAAGTTAACTCTAAGGGTCAGATCCTCAGCAGATGTGAATCGCTATCACTCTAGTAAAAAAAAAAAAAAGTCCCCATTAATACTACTTTGAGGTTTGGCTTTAGGAAGCATTTATCTTACTGTGTTCATCTGAATTTTTGAGGAACACGTGCTTAAAAATTAAATTGCATCTGAGAGTCAGGAACAAGGATCATCTTTACATGGACAATTAGATATGACAAAACTATAGCGAACAAAAATTCAGGGCTCATGAATACTCAAATAATTTACCTTAAAAAACATGCAAAAGGGTGTTTCACTGGAATAAGATGTTGTCTGGCAATAACATCAAAGCTAACACAATATCATGGCTGTTACCATTCAGAAAAACTATCTACAGTTAAAAAGATAAACGGGACACATGAGAAAGGTAATCCAAAATCTAAAATTAAATACTTTGCAGTCTCCAGTTAAATTTAATGAGTAGCAAAACAATCTAAGAAAATAAGGCATTCATTTCATGACTATTGTATAGACAGCTATCGGTGCTTGTTAAGATTATAAGATCACACATCAGATGGTCACATCTCCCCAGTTTTCAACTCTTCCAAGAGTTATAGCTCTGGCACTTCTCTGTAGTACAAAAATACAGCACAGCTTCTCACAATTTCCTGAGACACTGCACCTGCAATATATTCATGCTAATTGCTCCAAACTCATGCATACAGATGACAAAAGAACCTGAACGGCAATTCAGCTTTTTCCTGCAAAGGAAACATAATTGTTTTATAATATGCTGTAAGTTTTAAACCTGCAGGTTAAGTATTCATTTAATTATTTAGGAAGAGGTTGCACTTCTACTCCTCTCTCTGTACAAGAGGCAGCCTGCCTCTTCACCACACCAGGAGAAGGGAGGGGGAAGAGCTCAGATTTGGGATTTTTCTTCCTCTCTTTGCATCTCACACTTTCCCCTTATTGCAAATGCAGTATTGCTTCTACTGCCTCTGCTCATCCACTTACCACTGATATTTTCAGAAACAAACTATTTGAGCCAAATATATTGATGAGCAAATAGAGAAAGAGGAGAGGAAATAGGGACTCCTGTGTTTCCTACACAGGCAACTGGATTCAACACAGCTATTACAAATCAGATATTGTACTAATTAAGGGATTTTATTTCAGACCCTATCAGCAGAATGGCAAGAAAAAGAATGGTTGTGCAACAGAGTCAAAAGTATTTTCAGTTTCTGATGAGAAAACTGACTTTAACAGCAGACCTGGTAAGATACATCAGTAGCTACCAAATATCTCCTTTGGCTCAAAACATTGAAGCCTGTGTTTTTTAAAATGGACAAATCAATGAAAAGGCTTACCTCTGGGTTTGTGTGCATGTCTGATCCAGTAGTTTTAATACACCGTCGTAGCACACAGAGTCATTAAATTTGTCTAAAGGTACTACATTAAAAAATCATCAAATGCTATGAACCATGGTTTAAATTTTCAAAAGACTTCGCATAATTCAAGGGTCCACTTCCCATTTGCACTTCCTAGGTAGTAATGAGACTTTACAGAATTAAGCAGTGCAACACCTTGCTCATAGTGCTGATCCTACCTCACACAAATTTTCCACAAATAGGCACCTAAGTGCAGGATCAACAGAAAGCTGCTGAGCAGAACATACACCAAACTAGCGAGAGATAAATTTCAGCCTAAAGGGACAGTGTTTATACATGTCCAGAGAGACATAGTCTCTGTACAGAGCCATTAAGTTCCTAAATAACCTCAGCCACTCGTATGATACAAAACATCGAATTTACATTTTTAAGAGCAATAGTGGCAGGCCAGGAGAAGTGAGAGCTTTGGAGTTGTCACCCTGTGAGGGTGTGGGGGACAGGGTCCAACTGCTCCTCCTGCTCAAACCATAGCCTGAGCTTGAGTTCAAACCAGCACCCCAAGACAGAATCTCAACATCCAGTTTTCCATAAATTGGGAAAATGATCTCAGTCATCAGCACAAGATTTGCTTCTTCTTGTAGAAATAATTCGATATGCAGAGAACTGAGGTCAGAGAGAGTGTCTTCAACCCCAGCAATTAGGAAACATATCCAAGATGGGGGTTCAATTCCACATGTGATAAATATCACTGCTCCAGAGCAGGGATCTGAACCTGGGTCTTCTACCTTTGTCTCACATCTACTGTTTACTTTAAGCATATTTTGATTATGCTGGTAACATCAGGTCTATAGCAAACACAGTCCTATTTTGAAGGCTTCAAGGTTTTAGGCTACAGAAATCCTTGAGGTGGATCTCAATATTTAGGTGAGTTTGGACAGCAAAATCTTGAGCATATGCAAAACCTAACATGCTAAACTAATAGTCAGGAGGTAAGTGACAGCTAAGGAGTAATTATGCCAATGGTACATGAATGCTGGGACAAGGTGATGCCTATATTGTGCAGCAGATTATGGTGACAGAAAAGCTCTGAGCTGACTTTCACAGTACATCCACAGAGTTCAGCACAGCACCATGCAGAGACAGTCACACGGGTCTCAAAGGCAGCCTAGCCTTTTTGGTATGGCAGAACATGCATTATTAAATTCAATCCCTGTTTCTCAGCAGAGCTAATTAGTTCAGGTGCAGCTCAATGCTGCTATAATTATACTCCATCTGCTTCCAGAGCTAGCTAGTTTGGGTGCTGAGAGCTAGGAAATTTCTCTGCAGTAACCCCTCATGGGAGGGGGCACAATACTATTATGTCCTTAGGCATGAAAAGAGATGGATTGACGCTTTGGTCTCTTTGATGATGCGAGCCTTAGCAGCCTAAATCCTGTGGAGTTAAATCCTCTCAAGGGACAGATTTTTTTAAGATGTTTAAATAGCTAATGCCCCAGGTATGGCCCCAGTGAGGCTTTTGAAAAATGCCTCATAAGCACTAAGTGTTGGGTGGTAAATGGCTCTGTGCAGCAGTGCAGCAGTGAGATCCCCATGTCAGACATCTGACTGAGGTAGTCTGTTGCAGGCAGCAGCCCACAGGGTCCTGGCTCTTACCAAAACTTTGATGTGGTCAGATTGTCTTTGCTGGCTTGCAATCCAGCATGTAAGTGCTAAAACTCATTTGGCTACACAGAAAATATCAAGCCTGTCTGCTTCTCAAGAAAGAGACAGTGACAACTCAGATGAATGCTAATTTAGCATTCAGTATTCACTCACTTTAAAATGAAGCCTTAATCCAAAGACTACTGCAGTGAATGGAGTACCTCTCCTCCATGTCAATTCATATTGGATCAGGTCCTGAATTTGTGGCATGGAGCAATTAGTATGAAATAGATTAGGCAACAGCTTCCTTTATTCAGTTGTACAAGTTTTTTCAAGACAAACTGGTTGCCCACATTTGTTTTGCACAGGCAGCTAAATCATCAATACCAACAAGACTGGCATTAATCAGCAGAATTACTTCCTTGCTCTCAGAGGTATTTTGCTTCATATCCCTTTACAGAGGCTGTCAGGGACTACCTATAGCTTCCAGTACAATACAGCAGTGCCACGGTGCATTTTTCCAGACACTGGAGTCATCCACATTTGACCTGCAAGCTTTTCAGCAGCACACTCAAAGGAGAACATGATCAGTGACCACATGAACACCACAACAAGTTCTCACTCCATCTGCTTTGTTTAACCACACATCACCTCACTTTGGTAGCATTTATATGTACTTGTGGGTGAGTATGTGCATATGTGTCCAGAGACAGTGTGCTCAGCTTCCATGTGCACTGTGCAGGTGTGAATGACACCTGCATTTAACAGGATGGAGTCTGTGTGAGCATCTGTGTCACTGTCATTAATACTTTGACTCCCCGCACTGCTGCCAATGCCAGCTCTTTCAGTACTGCCACACCTCTGCTTGCTTTCTGCTTTCTAGGGGCACTGACTAAGGCTACTGAGACTGTTAGATATTGACTGAAACTCAATCAGTTGCTACTTATTTAACCAATATGCAGACATTACTTTGTGAAATGATTTTGGAAAGTGACAAAGGCAGCTGCCCCTCATCACCCACTCTTCAGAGAAGAGCTCTGCATTTCTGCTTTGGCTCAGCCATGGCTGTCTCACTGCCAAGCTACTCTTTCAGGGTACAGACAGCCTCTGATGCCTCTTCAGACAGGAAATAATTACTTGTTATGTAAAGGTTGCTGCCTACTACTCGTGTATATTCAGCGTATTCAGTCTCACTAACCTATCTGTCACACTGCACTGCAGCTTTGCACCATGTGAGCGGTATACCATGAGAGATGGCACCCAAAATGCCCATCTGAGACCAGCCGTGTGCCCCAGCTCACCAGCCATCCCCACTGTTACCCTTCATCATCCCACAGCCCCCGGCTTGGATATCCTGAGGAGCTTCGGCTCTCTTAGGTACGCCCCATCAATGGCAGCAGGCTGCCACATGGTAAATCAAAGGCAGTAATTAGTGACTGAGAGGTGGTGAGGAGCTGGTATAAGGGATTTTTTTCCATTTCTGTGCAAGGCTAGAAGTTTAACTCAAAGAATCCCCTGCAGTGGTTTAGGTTGTTAGTGCCTGACTTTGTACTGAAGAGAGGGTGGACTCACAGGCAGTCACAGCAGAGAGGCATTTTGAGAAGCTATCTCCACACAGTTATCTCATCTAGTCTGAGAAGAGTGTGTGAGTGACTAAAGCCTGTGCAGTGTACATTCAAGCAGGTAAGTTAAAACCACTGGCAATTAAAAGTAATCTCCCTGGTTTTGCAGTGGGACAGTGGATGAGATGCCACACCAATGAAGGGGCTCAGCGGTGAACCAGAAGCTTACAGCTGAAAGTCAGGACATGACTATGAAATGAGCTGAATACAAAGGGATCAGGGAGCTCTCAGGCCTGAAGCTCAGTATTTAGGTGTGGGCCAAAATAACTCTTTTAGACATGACCATAGGTCATTCAGGAAGTTTCATGAGCCTCACAGACTTCAGCTCGCCTAAATGACTGAAGGGCCAAAGGCAAATGCAGCAGACGCAAAAAAAGTTCTCCAGAACTCATAATTAATTTTTTCTTTGCTTTTTTCTCTCGGTTCTTCCTTTTCTTCTTTATAATTTTGTAATCTTCTCTCTGTGCAAAGAGAAGGTTGCCATTCCAGTGTCTGCTCTCGCTCTAAATTTCAAATTTTCACTCCATTTTTGTTCTCCATTTCTCATTAATACATTACAGATGACTTATTTTATTAATTGCCATCTATTTTTCTAGTTAATTTAATTTTCTGGGAAATAAATACTTTCCTGACCTGTTCCAGTCTTGTTCTAATGCTTAGCCAAATATCTCAAGGCAGTGAAGGAAAAAACAAACAGCTGAACATCTGCTGAAAAGGTTGCAAGGGTGAATAATCTCTAATAGCTTCTAATGAGCTTCCAGAAATATACTCCATAAGGAGAAATGTACAGATACGAGTTCTTAAACCCTTACTTACAAGACAATCCTGCTCAGTTACTCCATTCTGTTACAGACAGGAGGAAATTCAGATGCAGAATATGTTATCAGATACTTTTATAATGCATCCTACAATGACATATCTCTCTTCAAGCAACCATTAACTGGGCTCAACACACACCCTGCTTTTATGCTTTACTGGTGCAGTTTACATCAGGAAGACTGCAAGGAGTCCCTTATTATAATTGAAATTCTCCATCATTTTGGTGCACTGCTTGTCTGTCTCATAGCTCCACAGAGGCAAACTGAGCAAGCAAACGCAGGAGAATCCAAACGTTCCCTTGGTGATGCAGCTCAGCCCTGCCCCTGGAAGTGAGGATTAGGACAGCAGGCTCAGAGGTCAAGGAGTAGTAGTACCTGTGTAAAAAGAAGCATTGTTACTATTCCCCAACTCACTGGCCAAAGCACTAACAGGACAATTGCTGAAGAGTAATCTCTTCCCTTTTCTTTGGACTTCCATTTCTCCTCTTTGAGGTTGCCCTCAGTTCAACCACATACATCTGCCTGCCATTCTCAGGCAGAGCATATAAGTAAATGCAATACAAGGAAAGTCAATAAAGTTTCACTCACTTACAATAGAAGTGAATTTAGCCACCAATCGATAATGAACAGCAAAATGTTCCCTTCATGTCTGTTCTTGCAGCTGTCCTTCATCTGAAGAGTTCAACCCCACTTAGAGAATCAATGTATCAATAGAAAGTAAACTGTGTTTTCAATAAAACTGAATATGTGAGCAGACTCAGCATTGTATGATTATTAATTTCCAAAGTTAGCCACAAGCTTTTAAGAGTTTCCATTAAATCTCCAAATGAAATTGAAGTACTTGGAAAATTATCAAAAAATTCTGTATTAAAATACTCTCCTTCATCCCTCTACATGTGCAGAAGCAACTTGCATATTCCTAGGGCAAGCAAGGATACACTGTTGACTGAAAGCAATGATAATTCACTGCCTCTTATTTCTGGGATAGCCCTGAGCTTATTCTGCCACCTTGTGTGATCGACATATAATACAGCATAGTCTCATTTTCAGGTCCATATTTCTTATTCCACTCCATTAGGTATCGCATCTTGTTTAGTACTCCTCAAAGCTGGGAGTTTGTTAAACTCTGTGCAGACAACAACTCATCTCTGATATTCCAATATGGATTATCAGGATGAACCAAATTTAATATTTTGTTCATACTGCACCTCCCCGAAAGCCACTTAGTTTTATTAGAGCGGTGAACACTTCTTACTAACTATATAAAAGAATGCACATTTCTGTTAGCTCATTGTTAGATTGTGGTTCTGTTGAATTTCATTAAAATTATTTGCTAAATAATGTCTGGGAATAATTTTAGCCCATATTATCCATTCAAAGCAATCTGTTGAGGAAAAAAAAAACAACAGTTTTCCAAAAAAAGGCTTGAGCTGTGTGTGTGACTAGCCACTCCTTCTCTTATGGCCTATTTCACCATTATAGAAATAGTTTCTTTACACTTACCCTGACTGGAAAACTGTGAATGTTAGAAAAACATTTGGCTTTCAATGTAAAATGTCTGTTGAAAACAAATACAAAGGTAGTTTTTCAGAAAGTTTCTCCACTGTTTTGTCAATGTTTCTAATTTCTGCCACTGTATTCAGTCATGACAATATGAAAAATTAAAATATGTAAAATTAAAAAAAGAAAAAGCCTTTAATGAAAACCCCAGTTAGAGCCTGTTGGATAAAAATGTTTGATGTTTTTATTAGCTGGATAAATTAGCTATCTTATTCTGGAAACAGGCAAAGCATTCCTCAAATTCATCTACAAAAACTGTCTGAAGCTCTAGGTCAGACTATCATGACAGGCTCTGCAAGGGATTCTCATGCCTAGAAATGACTGCCAGTACAATGCAAAAATCAATAAAGCTACATGAAGCTGTTACCTACGGATGTCATCTCCCTTCGGAGTACCAGCAAATGTCCATGTACATCAAAGGTACTGAAACACTTAAATGTGACACCAGCCCTGTCCAGCAAGGCTGCCAGTATAGAGAGGAACTTCACCTTGTTCACAGGAAGGTTCTTAGCACATCCAGGTTTTAAATACCTATGAGCTTGCCTCCACTGTTAAGCAGAGGTGACAGAAGGTAGGAAGCAGGTTATCAAAAGCTCCTTCTAAATCCTGCAAATGCAGATGTTGACATCTTTTATTGCCTTATGCTCTACAGATACAGAACTACATTTTTTATCAAAGTGAACTACGACTCAGACTTAATTAACCAGAACTGTGGTGCCTACAGGATTGATGCTAAAAGTGTAGTGAATGCAGTCAGAGCAAAATTCATTCCTGTAGTCTAGTTTTAATGTCTTTTACACAGGGAAATAATTATAGCTAAAACCTGATGTTTTCGCTTCATACTTATGGAATACAATTCATCTTAGAGTATCTCGTCATGGCCTTAAATTGTGGCTGTGGTCAGAAAACTGTTTATATTAAGATCAAACCATTTTATTCACCATATATTCTGCAAATAATCAAATCACAGGGCTGATCTCCAGTCCTTCCATGAGAAGAAATAATTGAGGCAGAAAGATTCACAATGATTTTCATAAGAACCAAGCAAAATATGTCTACAAGATATGATTCAAAAACATATGCAATTTGCGTGTCAGAGACAACTTTAAAAAATTTGGAATATTTGGCAAATAATTTCAGGCCACACAAACACATCTCTCCACAATTAATAATGAAAGTAATTTCAGAAAAACCTGTTTCTTCAGTTACCCTGTACAAATTTTTGACCTTTCTTTCAGAAGTTTTTTTATAAAAGGATTAATAAATATATATATTTAAGAACAAAACTGAAAATTTTGCCTCCAACCATGTGTTTCTTGTTGACCTAGAGAGAAAAATCATATTAAAATATTTTTTCCAATCACATACTGATTAAAAAATACACCCTTCAAAACATGTTACGCACAGTTTTAATTTCAAAAGGCTTTGTCTCAAGTTTCAAAAGCACAGAGCAACCCTACAATGTGCATAATTAGCCTAGTATAAGGGAGCACACAGTAAAGGGACCTGGAAAGTTTGACTCCCTTTACAGGCCCTTGCAGAGCCCTTGGCAAGTCATTTTATTCCCTTATATCTCTATTTCCCTATCTATTAAGTCAGGGCAATAATACCTACCTTCCCTGAAGAAGTGACAGTAATTAAGTCAATGTTTAGCATAGCACTTTCAAGATGCAAATCTCTGCATTAAAGTTCTAAGTACTATTATTATTATCATCATTATCACTGATTATCATTAAGCTAAAGCTACTGTTTAATTCTGTATGTTCTCATTCTGAGAGATACATTCAACTACCATTGTCAGCTAATTATACCATCTACTCTTAAGTATAGGAGTACAAAAGCATACCTTCTGCTGCATTTGCAGTCTGTTCCCTCTTTCAAATACTCTTTGTGTGAAAGAAAATATATTCTTAACTAATGCCTTAAGGAAGTTTACATGGTATTGCCAAATTAGCTCATTGCAATTAGTATCTCAGGTTTCTCTGCAATCCCAGGAAAATAGCAGTAGCCACAAATGCAGCTAATGATGACTTTGTAAAACAGAACTGGAAGTTAATAGTGAAAAGGCTGTCAAAGAGCAAAAGGCTGCTTTTCAAATGACCTTTAAATCCGCTGCGGCTCCTGCAGAGGATAAGAGGTAACATGAGTGACAAAAAAGGCTTTTCCAGCTCACCAGATTTCGCCAGGTCAAAGAAGGAAGTATTTGTATTGAATAAATAAATAGATAATTCATCTCCCAGCTGTTTTGGCATCTTTCCCGATATGAGCACAGGTAGGAAGCAGGTCTGTGAAGCTGGATGAATTTGAGAGACCTGTAAAACAGTCAGAGAGCCAGAGAACTGAGCCCAAGTCGCTTGTTATGCAGAAGAGAAAGGAACAGAAATTTGCCCACAGGGCTTCAGATGCAATGTGTATCTGTGAACGCTATTAAAATGCCAATGTCAATTTAAAACTAAAAATCAGCCTCACTCAGTTTCTTCTGGTTTTGCTCACAAGAACGTGCAGCTGGGTGATGCTACCCTGCCATCCTCCCTGCTGACTGTTGCAGTCAGCTGCAAAGCTCAACTTGTATGATCTTCCAGATATCTGGGCACAGATATGGCTAACACTTGTACCTCAAACCCTATCTGCAACAAAAATAGATACACACACATAGACACACAGTAAAGAGGTGGTGTGTCACATCTTGGCATGAAGCCATGGAGAAAGCCACTCTTCTCCTTGTGATTTTTTTGTGTTATGACAACACATTAGTCTAAATAAATAGATAATTTTTAATGGATATTGAAATTTTACAGCCTTGAAAGAACCTCTTTGACACGAGACATTTTGTAACAACACAATATTTTGAATCTCCATAATCTTTCTGTCTAAGGTTAACAACCCAAAAAGTTTCTGAAGTCAAATAATTAAAAATGCATGAAAATACTGAGAGATAAAGTAAATGTTACTTTTTATAGGGAAGGAAACTGAAACCTAGATACTAAAATCTGCATCCAATCTTACACAGTTGGATGAGACACATAACAGCTCATATTCTCAGTGCTGGCGAACTACAGATCCATCAACCATTTGAGGAACACTGTGGCTCCAGCCTCCTCTATGTGCCAGGGAATCTCTGTGCTGCAGGGGAGGCTTTCTGCTGTTCCCCTGGTCTCACCCACACCAGAGGGAAGTCAAATGTGACTGCAATGCTCATCAGGATCCCAAATGCGAGGCAGGCACTTCCAAGTTAATAATTAAGCACAGTCTGAGCCCCTGCCCTCTGTAACATGGGGACTGGAGGGAAGGCTTTCCTCTCTCAAAGACACTTTTCTGTCCTTTAATGTGACACAATACTCACCACCCCCTCACCCCAGCTTTCCTTATGGGAGGATGCTCAAAAGATAGTTTCTCAACCCTCATGAGCAAAAGAGGTTAATGAAGATTTTTCAATGGAAAAGAAGAGGTAAATTACTTCTCCAATGTAAAGAAGGGGCTGAGAAATGAATGAATAGTATTAAATTACATTAATACCTAAGATAATGGGAGAAAAGTCATAAACCACACACATACATAGACAGTTCTCCACCTGCTCTTTGCCTTTCTTTGGGTCTTGTAGAAAGCTATACTGAGGTGGGATGGAACTGGCAGTTATCATAAATAACTTCTTATAATTACAATAAGAAAAAGAAAAAAATAGACTGCAAGAAGGGAATTCTTCATATAAATGGCACCTGCATGGCCATCCAGTGCTATTAGTCACTATAACTCAAGAGGAAAATGTTTATTGGTAAGCCAGTGTGACTCCTTGCTAAACTTCTATGCAAGGTATTTCTTCTTGTCAAAACAGATTTCCAGAAACAGCCTGATTTTTCCTATAGAAGAAATCCAAGAAACAACTTAGAAACATTATTTCTGTCAGGGGGCTATCAAACGCCTTTGCTTCTTTGTCTGGTATTCTTAAAGTATGTTTAAGCATTATGCATAACCTTACAAGACAAAAAAGGTCAGGTAGGATCAGGCCGTGCAATAATATCTCAGATGGTTCCCATTCTTTAAAACTGAGACAACTAAATTTTGCCAACTAGAAAATTGTACAATGCAATCAACATACTGACAAGCTGCAAAATATAATTTATTATACATGTCTTATCACATAATAGCATAAAAATATTTATCACTGTATGTAAAAATGACGTTCACTTCCCAGACAAAACACGACTATAATTCCTTATTTTATTTCTTCCTAGGTTCTCTTTTAATTGCCATTTCAATAGGCTCAGAAATGGCTGGAATTCCAAATCTAACCTCTGCCAAATCTTCAGAACCCTTGGACATTTGTATCTCTCTCATTCTGTTACTCAAAGCTTCAAACTGATAGTTCTGGAAATTAAATTGACCAATTTATTCATCACTGTAGCAGGGCTTAAACCTCAGCAACATGATTGCCATCATGTCATTGCTGTCAATGACCTGAGTCTTGAGTTTCAGAGATTGCCCCGGTAACACTCGATAATAAGTGGCAAAACATTATCGCTTCTTTTGGTACTCATTATAAAAACATTAATTGGGGTGAAAGGTAATCCACTTCATATGCTAAATCATGGATCTTCTCTAAGGGTGGACAAGGGGCATTGCAAGAATAAATATGTCATTGTGATTTGTTGCCACAAAATTTCCTTAAAGTTTGCATGAATGGACTACCAGAGGGTGTCACAACAAGGAAAAACATTCTTTTGATTTAAATTATCCAGGTCTAGTCTGAAAGGTCACCATCAAAATGAGAACACAACAGAGAAAAGGGATGAGCTCCAAAGTAATGTCAGTACAATTTATGCAACCCATTTTTTCCACTATCCTGTTTTGAATAGTTTCATTTTATTTATTTTAGGGAATCACTCCATGGGTCACACTGAAAATTCACAGTACCTTTACCACTCCTTTCCTATTGTCTCTTCCTTTCAAGTACTGTTTCAGTGGGGGGGGGGGGAAAGAAAAAAAAAAAAAACACCACCAATTTTTTGCAGTTTGACTCCTGTGGCAGAAAAGCATTAAACTCACAGCCAGGCAGCTGTTTTCCCCCTTCTCGAGTGCTGTCATTCTACCTCTTTAAGCTCTGTTTTATCAGTTGCATAGAAATTTTTTTGTTCATTTCAAAGAGCACATTAAATTCTCATTAACAGAGAGGGGAATTAGGCATGCACAGTTAGAAAATGAATAAAAAAAAAATTCTGCACTAAGTAAAGAAACAGGATTCCCCTGACAAATGTGTATTCACAAAGAAATATCACTGCAGGTAACAAATAAACTCCCTTGACTAAGTCAGATATCGTTTCCAAAGTTTTCTCAAAGCGAGAGCTCTCTTGGAGATTTTTCAGCAGGAAAAAAATGGGTTCTGCTCAGCCTGGGTTTATCTCAAAATTTTGGACTTTCATGTCCATGGAACAATAATGTTTGAAAAAAACAAAAATTAAAATTAAATCCCAGGCCTTGTAAGGAGGCATCTCAGGGGCCAGCTACTGGCAGGGCTGGAGAGAATGCTGCTGCCAAATGGAAAATGTGAGCTGGCAAGTGGACCTGAAATCTTAGATTTTGAACTTGGCACATCTGAAAAGTCTTGGCAGTTGGTTACAGGCCCTGGAATGCGAAGCTTGAGAACAAGTTTTTCCCCATAAGAACATAGAAAGCACCTTTAGTATGTATAAAGCAAACTTCCATCTACCCTTCCTATAAACAGCCCTGGTGTGTTTTGCACAGTGTGAAGTAGCATTTAGACATGCATTGATTTTGCCTAGATATCCTATCTTCATTTGTCTTGCTTTGCCTCATATGGGCCCCAATGACTTTTTGACCCTCCAATAAATTTTAGCATCATTCAGAAGGTCAAACAGTCAGAAAAGTAAAAACGGATTAAAAAAAGAAAGAGCTGCAGTGGATGGAGAGTTATAATCATAAGCTTTATTAGATATTTCAGATGCTGCAGACTTTAATGGCAGCAAGCTTTTAAAAGTTCAGCCTCTGTTTTACTGTTATAAGGGGATACTGTTATTTTTGCGATCTGATTTTTAATATCACTAAGTTACCAAAGAGTTACCAAAGTCTTTCTGAAAGTTATATGAACTATTTAAATTATTTTAAATTAATTTAAAAATACTATTTTTAAAATTGAAAATATTATAAAACTAGTTTCATAGTATTTCCTTGCGCTCTTGATGACAAAAAAGAGTCACAATATTACTTGCCTCTCTCTGGTCATCTTAGCCAGAATCCTCTCTGCATTTTCTGGTTTTCTCTTTTTTCTTTTTTTTTCTTTCCTCTTTTACGGGGCAGAGAGGGAACAGACAGTACTGGCGAATCACAGTTTTGAAATTAAATAAAGACATGGTTGCAGTCTATTTAATATCAACATATTCTCACTATTAATATTGTTACTATCATCTTTACCAGCTTTATGACTGAAGCCTAAGCATCTAAGAGACACAACTGCTTTCATAAGTCACATTCCTCCTGTAATATACTCACATGCGGTGAGCAAGTAATTTATCCTGTTAATATTTTGTTCAGCTATTGAGAAGCTTGAGTTTGAAACTGCTGAAAAGAAGCCCAAGACATAAGGTGCAAAGGAATTTTAAAAATTGTTCTATAGCCGAGCCAACCCACCTTGGACCTTGCATGTGCAGAAAGTCTCCAGCCCATGAATCATCTCTATGCTATGTTGTGGTCCACCGTGCAAGCTGTAGAGAAACACATGCCAAAATCTGATCACCAAAGCCTCAGACAGCTTAGTCGGTATAAATTATCTCTTAGGATAAATTATTCTGTCTTGATTTGCAAATTTGACACTCTCTCCATTTGTAACTTGTTTCCTTCATCCTTTGCATATGTTAGCATAGTAGTGGAATACATTTAAAATCACAAGAGATCCATTCCCATTAGTCTGGAAGGTTATTTCATGTAAGTATTTCCTTATTTCTAAATATTCTTTTGCACAGTTTTTTTTCCCCTTGTATATCCTGAAAAAGGAAGAAAAAATGGCACAGACACTGTATAGGGTTTCAGCCTTTCTTTCTGTTTTATTCTTACCTTTACAAGACCACAATATTGCCATTTATTCTTTTTCTCATTCACTTGAAACTACATTTTTTAAAACTTCTCTTTGGATTTACTAGATAAAACATACACGCCTTCCAATTAAAACTGTTTATTGTCAATGTATTTTTGAGGTGAAAACATGACATATATAGCTTTTAATAAGAGAAAAAATAAATTTCATTTCATACTCCTAGTTCAGCAAACCAGAGAAGGCCTGTTCTGATGCATGGTTGAAGCGTACTGACGAAACTGCGCTGAGAGCGATAGCTGGGATAGCTCCTCGAAGTCTGCTGCAGTGCAGAGAGGAGGACACAGCAAGCTTCTCACTCAAGTCTCCCAGGGATTCACAGGTGATTTAAGATTCAAATCCTTTTCTCCATCTTTCTCCTGAGGATTTGCTTTCATGACAGAAATCTCCTGCTGGTGCAGAACTGCACTGGAACTCACACCATACCCCTCCTGGCTACTGGGCTGGTGGGGGGATGCTCTCCAAGATGACAAACTGATGTCTCCAAGGAGGATTTCACTCACTGGCTCACAGGCACTAATTTAAAGGAGTGCGTAGCTACAGTATGATATATCAAAGCAAAGACTATTGAGAAAATAAGGGGCTTTTAAAAGAAGACATATTCCAGAAATTATCTATATTACAACTTGCTCCGAGTACCATTAGACTTGACAGATGATTAACCAGGCTGCAGGCAAACGGCAGAGTTTGCCAGAGCCATTGGACTTTGGAATTTCTTGAAGTTCTGAGTGCATTTCCATGAGAAAAAAAACCCCACACAACTGTTTTATTTTCATTTATTTATCAAGCAATACCTTGCCACCACAACACCAAAAGGAATTATAATTGTAAGATTAATGAATGTCAAGGATAAACGGCCTCTCTATTTGCTCTTAGCCAAATGGTTCCTAAAAAAGTTACACCCTCCCGAGCTTCCCTGAAAGCAACATCACAACAAGAGAGACAGCAAAGTGAGCATAAAAAATAAATGTACAGGTCAGTGTTAAATTACCCAGTTAGTCAGACAGGTTGGAGACAATATGACTTGGGAAAAAAAACACAAGTACTGCAAGACAACTTACTGATATAAAAATAGATAAAGGTACCAGTAGAAGATAACCTGGCATTATCACATTCTATTCTTTAAAATATCTGAAGGCCCTTAAATATCTAAAACACCCTGAAGCCAGCATTTGGAAATGGAAGAGTCTGACAAAGAATTGAGTTGCTCCATGCTCCCGCATATATAGGATCTTGTACATGACCAACGTGAAAGTCATATGTCGCAACAGACCTTTGATGGTGTGCCCTGTGCCCTCCGGTACAGACATGTCCATGCACAAAGGCAGTTGCATTTGACAGACAGTTGTTCTGGACTTGCATGCAGAACTTCAGATGCAGAAGCCATAAAACTTTGTAAACCACTTCACAAGTTCACACATCAGAAGCTATTTGGTGGATTTGGCCATTGTTTAAGCTTCTCTGAAAACAGATGGGAACATGATGTCTTCTCACAAGTTTCATTCCCACATTACTGCCACAGATGGTGCTCTCACATCTTTGAAGAATAGGTCTTCTTTCTTACATAAGCAATAAGAGGATACAAAATGTTTCACATTACTGCTGATATAACTGATCTCAAGCAGTTACTGCTGAGACATTGCTGAGACATATCATTTTTTGCTCTCTGCCCCTCCCAGAACATTCTGGTTCTCCATTTAATGCTCTTCCACTCAAAACCAACAACAGGCAGGGACACACACTGATATATTAAGTCAGCTATTTATTTATATTTTCTTTTCAAGAAGTTCATATGCCCTTACTCAGTGATTCTATGAATGTCAATGTATTAATGTAGTTCATTGAAAATGAAGAAGGAATCTTTTTTTTCAGATAATTTAGTAAAATATTGCTCTGTTCCCTGTGGGAGTTTTTTGTCTTTTCTTTTTTCCCCCCACTAAGCACAAGTAACTGGATAATCATATTTCAGCCTCCTGAGGGCTCATTTCCCAAATGGATGTAAATAATGAATCAAGCACCAATGGCAGACAACTTGGTTCTCAAAATAGGTCTCTACATTTCAGCATCCAGAATGTCATACAGCGTTTGCACTGTTGTTGTTGTACCTTTGCACCTCTTAAACAATGACTTCATTGGGTTTTTTTGCTCATAAATATTATAGGAAAAATCAGCTCCTCTTAGCACAAAAAAGAATTTGAAAACCATCAAAGAGGAAAAACTCCTTCCTCCTCATCATTTACATCCACCATCAATTAATTTGCTAAGGAAGCATACTCATAAGTAAGCTCTAAAAATTAAACTATCATATTATCACGATAAATAAATCAAAAATTCATACAATCAGTCAGTTGTGACTGTTGATCACCATCTGGAAAACTTGAAGTCCAGCCCAAACAAAGACCTCCAGCCTCTAGGTGAAGTGCAGCCTATTAGTTATCATCTATGCTTTCCACATCCAGCTGCTGTGGGAGCATGTTGACTGTATTTTTAACACACAGTACTTTTCCTCAGTCTCCTCACAGCCCTACCATGGGCCCCAGAGGGTGCTTGCATGACACTAGTATAGTATTGTTTTGGTGTTTACTTCTTCAGGTCAAAATGTCTGAAGCGATCAGAGGGCTGCATTATGGTTTGCCAGAAGAGAGGTTTTATAGTGCGGTGCATACACTACACATGTCAAAAGTGTGTAATGAGGGAGAACAGAGGCATCTGAGCACAATAGACCTTCTGGTCTATGGTACTGGAAGTCTGCACAGAGCAGAGAAATCCAAAGGTTTTTTAGTCTTACCCATGTTGCCCACAAGGCAAAATATTCTTAAACCCCCAGGTGAATATGGCCACAAACAATTGGTTTGCTTCAGAGAGTACTCTGAGTGGAAATGTCTGTGAACTACCAGGAAAGCCAGGCCCTGGAGCATCCTGGGGAGTTATTTTTAGTCTTCTGGGAACTTTGAAATCAAGTGAGGGAGAAGATATTTTAGAAGATTATACTTATTTTGGCTTTGTAACTCATGAGAGTTTCATTACTGGAAAAAATTATGTTATAATCCACAATAAAGATGCTTATAATTACCTGGGTGCATCACCTTTTATAAGTTCTATTGTAAAGAGAATAAATAAAAGAAATAAAATAATCTCAAACTGCATAAACTTCTATTGCTTGAGATATTAGACATTTAATTACATAATTTTAGCTGGTTTCTTCAAGTCTTTCCTTTCTTGTCTTTCCTAATTCACAAAGAGGGATATTTTGATTGAATTTCTTTGTAGATATGGTTCTTTGTTGGTTTTCATGGCTGATGCCAACTTTCCTTAGGGTCTGATCAAATTCCTACTGAAATTAAAGACCTTCAGTAACATCAGTAGGGTGAATTGAGATCATATAAGTGTTGAGCCTAAAATTTAACTCCAGAGTAAAGTAACTCCACTGTTCATATACCTGTGAAGACAGACAGAATTTTCTCCAAATCTCTGAAAACCAAAGATGTATGTCAGATACTCAAATAATATAATTAAAATTACACAGTAAGCGAATACGTATTTGTAAAAATTGATTCTACTGTTGCTAAATAGATAGAAAATTCAATAGATACACTGAATTCTCGTGGCTTAAAGGATGTTTTGTACTTCAGATCGAAGATCAATAGAAAAATCTGGTTGTATTGTAGCCAAGATTAAAAGAAGCATATCCACTTCAACAGGTCCCCTCTCTACCCTCATCTGTACAGAAATCTTAATGGGTTTTGTACATAAAGTTTAGCAGGAAAGTCTGAAAACTTCTTCAATTCACACCTGTGCTGGCATGAAGGTCTGAGGTGACCGGAGGAACAGATAAATCTTTAGAGGCAGAAAGCTCTCCAGCAGCCGAGTACTATCTTAAGCTAAAGGGCAGTCTTGAGAAAGACTCATTACAGAATTATGTCCTTTACATTGACAGAGACTTGAGATATGTGCAAGAAGTTGGAAAAGAAAGGATTTCTAGCCAAATTAAACATGCTATTCCATGTTCTAACTGTTTGAGCATAAAAGAAGAAGAAAAAGGGTTTGTCTAGATCTTAGAAATTTTAACACATGGAATCAGAGAAAGCATTCTTCATTTCTAGAGCTTCGGATATTTGTTGCTGACCCATTATTAAAATTAAATTTAACATTATGAATAAAAAAAGAGACAGATTTTGGAAAATCAAGTTAGAGGGTGAATCATTTTAGCTGTTCACTTTTAATTTACCTTGAGACAGACAGAAGTTTCTTCACTTGAATTTTCAGAATTAGATCAGTTAGTGAAACATAAAACAGAATGTGAAATGTAAAATAATAATAGAATGTCACAAAGTTAGCAGACAAAGCATATCCAGGTAAAGTAAGAATACATGGAGACCTCTTGTTCTACGAATCAAGGAATCAAGCCAAAAGATCTCGTATATATATTAATATATGTAAGTGTATCCCAAGTGCACGTTCTTTGTTCATTCCACTGCCACAGGAGAGTGTAACTTGGCTGACAGCAGGCACACATGACAGAGCATTGCAATAAGTTAAAACACTGTTGTGTAATAACCTCTCCATATTCAACATACATATTCCCAACAACTCAGTCATCATGCTAACAAATGT